GCATCGTGGGATTTGGACGCCGGAATCGCTGGGAATCAATTGCGACCCGTCACGGCGGTTGCCTGGGGTATTTGCAGATTCCAGCCACCTCCGGCAAATTCGACGTCGCGCACCCACCCAGCCTGACATCTTTACGACCCACCTTGACTCCTCAATTGTAGCATTTGGTTCGGGATTGCAAAACCCCCAATTTTTCACACATAGGGTTTTGCCGGTGGGGAAAGTTTCAATTCCGGCCACACTTGGATTCGGTCTTTTTCAGTCTGGACCGGTTCGGTCCATAAGATTTCGGGTCTATCCGGTCAAAACCCAACTACATTTAGGTCCGGTCTTCGATTTAGGTTTTAGCATAGTTCGGTTTTCGCTCCGGTCCGATTTGGTCCGATCCGGTCCGGTTTTAGACCGATGAACACCACTACTTGCCATGACTAATCTCATCAAACAACTAACAAGGGATCCAATCTAAGGAATTGCTTCCAAAATTCATACCCTACTTTTAAATATAACACTTTAATTTATTTTAAAGTGTTATACCATTTTATAAATAATTTGAGTTATATAATTAAATAAATAAATAAATAAATATATATATATATATATATGTATATATATATATGTATATATATATATGTATATATATATATATGTGTGTGTATATATATATATATATGTATATATATATATGTATATATATATATGTATATATATATATATAGGAATTCACTTCAGTGAGATGACACCTTACGGTAAGATGACATTCTTCGGTCAGATGACACAAAGGTCACCACTGGTCACTGCAAAGCTCACCAATGCACAATGCAAAGCTCACCGAAATAAAGCAAACCTCACCACTTTGAATCTCAAAACTCACCCTTTTTTTAAATTTTAAAAATTAAAAAATTAATTAAAAATAAAATAACAACACCGGTCAACCACCGGTCAACGGCGGCGGAGCAGTTGCGGCGGTCAGAGTCCGGCGGCGGCCGGCAGCGCCGGCAGGTGGCGGTCAATGTTGACGATCAACAGTCAAAGTCCAGTCAGCACCCCTTCTTTTGATTTTATTTTTTTAAAAAAATTCAAAGTATTGAAAAAATATGGTGAGCTTTGCCTTACAATTTGGTGAGCTTTGTAGTTGTCTTTGGTGAGCTGTGCAGTAGCCAGTGGTGAGCTTTGTGTCATCTGACCGAAGCATGTCATCTCACCCTAAGGTGTCATCTCACTTGAGTCAATCATATATATATATATATATATATATATATATATATATATATATATATATATATATATATATATATATATATATATAGGGATTGACTCCAGTTAGATTAGGGCTGGGTCGGAAAAACCGAAAACCGAACCGAAATCGATCAAAACGAGCTAGAAAAAAAAACCGAAACGAAAAAACCAAAACCGAATGTAAAAAAACCAAACCGAACCGTTATTGTTTGGTTCCGTTTTGGTTTTTCCTTTGAAAAACCGAACCGAACCGAATAAACCGAACTTATTTATATGCTTCTTTTTTATGTATATGAGTATATGTGATATGTATAAAAATCATATAAACAAATATGCAAATATATTATTAGTTGATTAAAGTTTTTTAATTAACTATTAATTAAACATTTTAACCATGTTATAAACTTTAAAAAGTTTAAGAGATATAAATACCAATAACTAATCTTAATATAGAATTATAGTCCGTATGACATTAAAAATTAATATGAGTAGTTAACATATTTACATAAAAAAACTTTGATGTTATAATGTAAATAAAAGTATTATATAAAAAACATAAATTCTCTATAGTTGATTTTACATACATACGATATCTTTAGGACTATTTGGAATCTCCTAGATGTTTGTTAGGCACTTGACACATATTTTGTATCTAAAATTGAACCGAATAGAACACTAACCTTCCGTTCGGCATTTTTTTGTGTGTAAAAATCAAGCAAAAAAACCAAACCCAAACTTACGTATTGTTATTGCTTCGTCGAGTTAGTATTTAGACAATTTTTAATGCTTATAAGTATTTACTTTTATAAACCGAAAAAACCGAAAAAAACCAAAATAAAAACCGCATAAAACCGAACCGAATAACCAACAGTTTACATATTTTTATGCAAAACCGAACCGAACCGAACCGCCAACTTACCTTCCGTTTTGTCTTTGGTTTTGGGTAAAAACCGAACCGCCAAAACCGAACCCACCCCTAAGTTAGATGAAACCTTACGGTGAGATGACATGCTTTGGTCAGATGACACAATGCTCACCACTTGTCACTGCAAAGCTCACCAAAGACAACTACAAAGCTCACCAAAGTGTAAGGCAAAACTCACCATATTTCTTCAACACTTTGAATTTTTTTCCCAAAAAAAAATCAAAGGAAAGGGTGCTGACTGGACTTTGACTGCATTGACCGCCAGCATTGACCGCCGCCTGCCACCGGCCGCCGCCGCCGGTCGCCGGAATCCGGTCACCGCCGCCGCCGGAATCCGGTCACCGCCGCAGGTCGCTGGCCGCCGTTCGCCGGAATCCGGTCACAGCAGCCGCCGGTTGCCGGACTCCAGCCGCCGCCGCGGGCTCTGGCGGCCACTGCTGCTCCGCCGCCCTTGACCAGTGGTTGAC